TTTAGGTGCTGGAGGACGTAGAGTCGGCCGAGGCTTGTGGTCCCGCGGTGAGAATGCGCTGTCTGGCGCTGCGTGGGGACCCGGTGCCGGCGGAGCGCTGTGGCGGACGCGGCGCAGGGCCGTTCCCGCGTCTGTTGTCCCGCCCACCCCGGACACTTGGTGTGGCCCGGGTCGCCAGGCGCCGTTGGGCGTTGTGGGCTCCTTCGGGTTCGCTTTCTGCCGGGTGCTCTCGGCCCCTTAGTCCCTCTCGTGCCCCTCTGCAGCTCCCCACCTTTAGCGAGCGCAGAGTCGATCGTCTGGGTCTTGCTGAGACCGGTGGCTTTAGCTCCAGCTCAGCTTCGGTGCCCTCGTGGCCGCGCGCATCGACCTGGCCTGAGCCCGCGGTGCTCGCTCAGTGGCCTCTGCGTCCGACTGCCCGGCTCCTGCCGGCCCTTTCCGGCGCTGCGGCCAGCTGAGTGGCGGTCACGCGACTCTGCTGCGTTCGGATGTACCGGCGCGACCGCCTTGAGGCGCTTTGACTTTCCACTTCCCTTTCCAGCCCTGTGATTTCCCCTTGAATGCAGGGCTGGTCCCCGCTCACACTCTCGCACATGCTGGCCCCACTTTGCCCCTCTCTTTAATGCCTGGCTTCCTGAAAGACAGCTAGTCTGATGTGTCGCTTTCCTCAAAGTCTGAAGGGAACCCGTCCTCACACACGTATGCGGTTGGGAGGAGTGTTTCAGATGGTGGAGGGCAGTGCCTCCCGTTTCAACCCTGGTCTCCGTTAAAGTTCCTTTGTGCAATTTTCATAGGTCACAGCTATGCCAATTTTTGCCAGCTAATTATGTCCTGTCTTGCACCACTATACATTCTATACATTCTTGGGGGCAGCGAGCTAGTGTCTGTTGTGCTCAGCACAGGGTAGATACTCGAATTCCAGGTAGTGCTTAAGCAGACCTCCACCTGCACCCCAGAGGGCATCTGGGTTGCAGGCATCCCAGCTCTCCCTTCTGGGAGAGAGGCTTCTGGGTGCCCAATAGGGCCTCCTGCCCCTCCCTTCTTGGTTACCTCTGTTCCTGAGACGTCAACTCAGTTCACCTCTTCAGACATCCTGGTTCCCTCCACCTAAAAGGAGGCTGGCTGGGTTAGGCTGCTCAGACTCTTTCTCCCTGTGTTTTTAGATTTTTGAGATCAGGACTATCTTCCTATGTACTGATGCACAATAGGTGCTTGTAACTATTTGTTGAATAGAGCCGCAGCAGCAAAGACCTCCAGAATCACTGCCTTCATTTCTACATTGGAAGCAGGTGGGGAGGGTGAACGGCATCCACTGGGGCCTCCTTGATGAGGTGGTGTGGGGTTAGCATGATTATCATGGTTGGTTATGACTATCCATGTAACTTTGGGCTGGCGGGTTAACCACTCTGATTCTCAAATGTCCTTCCTGATAGGCAGATAATAGTGATACTTATAGAATCGTTGGAAAAGTAAATATGAGGATGTTTGTGGGTATCTGGCTCACTGAAAGCTGGTGCATTTTCTCTTTCCCAAGAGAGTCCATTGTGCCCATTTTGTGGGTTAGAAGCATAGACTCCTCCCAGTTTCCTCTTCTGCTCATCTGGACCCAAAGGGCGCTCCGTTTTCTCTGCATAGTATTCCTATTTAATCCTTAAAAGATTTTTGCTGAGGACTCAGCCCCAATCTCACAGAGCTCACAGCCCATGAAGGTAGGAAATGCATAGCCCCGAGGAAGTGTGGAGGCTCTTCTGTCACTGGGTCTGTGTGGGGAGCAGCTGGAGGGTGGGGATGTGATGCTCACTCTGAGGAGGGGGCTTAGGATTTGACTCTTAAAGACTAAGGAGGTAGTAGTGGGGGTGGAGGGCGTCTAGAAAGCCATTCTGTGAGGTGGGAGAGGGAAGTGAGAGCCCTCAGTGCAGGCAGCACTTCTCCCTCCATTGCCCCTGCACCCTCCCTCTTTCCACATGGGGGGCGGGGCCTGTCAGAATGGGAGCCCTTCTCCCTAGCATGTGCCCTGCTGTACAGGAGGGGGTGGTGGAGGTGGGCAGAACGGGCAGAGCAAACGCTGTCCAGTGGGCATCCATTTCAAGAGAGACCTCTTTGGAAACACCTAGCTGGAACTGACAGCACGCATTGTTTATGAATATGCTTCTTAATTTTATAATGAATGTAAATGGGAAAACATTTCTCCAGAAAAGAATAAAAGTTTCAGGGTCAACTTTACTGAAACTTTAGTTTGGTTTTGTGACTGTTGACTGAGTTCAAATCATGAGATGGTTACCAGGATACAGGAGGAATAAGGCTCCCTTCTTGGAGGAGTTGCCCAGTGAGCACATCAAGACAAGTGACAAGTGCTGTGACCAACTGCGGGGTGGGGGCTACATGAACCCAGGAGCTGAACCCCTGGGAGCACCCAGGAAGCCCTCCTGGAGGAGGTGGCCTTTGAGCTGGGTGCTGATCAGGCCCTTTCTGCTTATAGGTCATGAGTACTATATGAGTTACCTATAACTGTTGTAATAAAGTACCAAAACTTGATGGCTTAAAATAACACATTTGGGGGGAATGGCAGGTGGCATGGTGGTTAAGGGCACTGGACTACCACATGGCTGACTGTAGTTTGAGTCCAGACCTGGTGGCTTGCTTTCTCACTTTACTTCTCTCTCTCTTTTACTTTGCCCCTCTCTGGTCAAAATTAAAAACAAACAAACAAACAAACAAAACACATTTTGGGCCAGCAGGTGGTGTGGTGGTGAAGGTGCTAGACTCCCACATGGTCAACCAGGGTTTGAGTCTCGGATCTGGTGGCTTGCTTTCTCTCTCTCTTTCTTCTGTCTGTCTCTGGTGAGCACACATGCAGTATAGCAAATTTAAAATTAGTAATAAATAATTCTTAACCCACAAAATTTTTTTTTCCAGTTCTAGAGGTCAGGAGTCCAAACTCAGTCTCACTGGGCTAAAGAAAAGGTGTTGACAGGGTTGGTTCCTTCTGGAGGCTGTAGGGGAGAATCTGTCCCCTGCCTTCTCTAGCTTCCAGAGGCCACCTGCATTCCTTAGCTCATGGCTCCTTCCTCCATCTTCAAATCTCTCCCTGCTGCTGTTGTCACCTGGCCTTCTTTACCCGGCCTGTCTCTCTCGGAAGGACCCTTGTGAGTCCATCAGGCCACCCTGGACAGTCTAGGGTGATTGTCTTATCTCAGGGTCCTTACCATTAATCACATCTGCAGTCTGCAAATGCCTTTTGCCATGTGAGCTAACAGGGACTAGGAGGAGGACATCTGTGGAGGCTGTTATCTAGCCTACCAGGAAAGCCCGGGGCTTTCATTGGCTCCTGTGATGCAGCTCCATTGGGGTTGGGAGCCTTGCATCAGGCTGTGCTGACTTGGGGCTCAGTTCTGGGGCATTCTTCTCTTCCCAGCTCTGTAAGTCTCGCTGGGCTCATCTCTACTTCAGGCTCTCTCTGTGGTAGCCAGTCAGCCCCTAGGGCTCTGGGCCAGCATGGTCTGGGCAGCTGCGGATATTGCAGGAGAGACAGCCTGGGCTTGAGCATCCTAGGGAAGACTGATGGCTTAGTGTGAGTCATGTGTTCCTTGTCGAACCAATCACCGCAGGCCTCTGGCTGGAATTAGGAGTTAGCTATTTCTACACATGGATTTGAGTGAGGATTCTCCCACAAATGAAGGATATTGAGTGGACAAAAATAACTCACAAAGAATGAAAAACAAACCAATGTGTGTGTCTGCCACAGTCACATGTAACAGACTGGCTCTGAACCTCTGAGGGGGTACTTGGCCTCCCGTGGGTGCATTTCGAGTGAGGGTAGGGTCTTGGGCCTAGGCTGCTTGGACTTTGGAAGAATATCTGAAGCTGGCCAGTCCTGTCTTCCCTGCCCCTCACATAGCTGTGTGACCCATTAGAGTAGCCCTTCTTGGGACCAGCAGTTAGCATAATGGCTATGTTGCTGGACTCTCATGTGGTTGACCATGGTTGAAGGCCTGGACCCGGTGACTTAAACTCATGCCGGGTGCATGTGTGTGCATGCCCAAGATCCCGAGAGGAGAATGCAGGAGAGGGGATTGTGGCGTGGCCATCCCCCCTGGAGGGTGATTTCTCGCTTTCTGTCTTTGTCTGTCTTTTTGGTGAGCACATGCACCCTATAGCAAAAAAAAAAAAAGAATAGCCCTTCTCAAACTTTCTGGTCCCAGACTCCTTCACTCTTTAAAAACATTACTCAGGAGGTGGAAGAAATTTTGTTTATGTGGCTATATTTACCAGTGTTTATTGCATTACCAATTAAAACAGGAATGTTGAAAATATTAGTTCATTAAGAATAGCAGCAATAAACCTATTACATGTTAACATAAAAACAATTTTAAAATGTGAAAATCAACTATATTTTCCCTAGCAAAATAGCTAGGGAAAGGGGAATTGTTTGGCATTTTTGCAAATATCTTTTTTTTTTTTTTTTCTTTTTAGTTTTTGTTACAGGGTGTGTGTGCATCCCCAGGGAATCCCACACCATCATTCTTTTTCCTTCAGTCTCCTCTCAGGAATTTGGGTATGCATGGACACATGCCCAGCATGATTCTCAAGCCACCGGGTCCAGGACTAGAACTGCACAGCTGACCATATGGGATCCAGTGCCTTAACCTCCTGCTGGCCTGCAATATCTTTAATGTCTGGTTGAAGAGAAGATAGCTGGAGTCCCCTGTCTGCTTTTGTGTTCAGTCTGTTGTGATAAACTATTGTGACTGAAATATGTAAAGGGCATCCATTTTCATTCAGATAGGGGAGCAGTCTCTTAGATAATTGTGAGTTTTCTCTGATGCTACAGAAACTCGACAAGCAGTGGTTTCACAAAGATTTGTCCCAAAGTGGTTTCTCATACCATCTAAGTGATTTCTTAATACTCTGTGGCATTGAAGTTCTCTGGTCCGTCTTGCACTTGGAAGGCTCTGTTACACATACAGCGTTTTGTACCATTATGCATTTGGAAGATACTGGCTCATTGAGGTAGGCAGGCTTTCCAACCATCGACACATTTAATTGCACCATTTCAGAAGATCACATTTGTTCTGTCACTGCCCATCTCCTCAGGAAGTCTCAAAGAAGTACGAAGCTGTCAGGATCGTGGTGGAGGATACAGATGTACCCAATTCAGATTTTTGCTCGAAAACTTTATTTTATTACAGTTTTCTTTGAAGTGACGGGTTCACTTAGTTTATGCTTCAGAAACTGTCTGCTAAGTAGACAAGTCTGAATACCCATAGCTTGTCTGCACTCATTCTTTGTAGTAAACGTGGTGGTGTTGAATGAAGAATGATTAAAGCAGTGAGCTCAGCTCCCAACCCAAAGCTCAGCCCCCCTTTTCTGGAGATGACCACTGCCCTTCAGTTTTAACGTCAATGCTTTTTGTGTATTTCTGATTTTGTCACTCAGAGTATTAAGATGCATATACTCAAGGACCAAGATATAGTAGAATTCATAGTTTTTATAGCTTCGTCGAGGACTTTTTTTTTAAGTTTTTTTTTTTTTTTGCCATAGGGTGCATGTATTCTCTGGAGAGAGATAGTGAGAGGGAAAATGAGACATCACCTCCCCCTCCCAGGGGGGATGGCCATGCCACAATCCCTTCTCCTCCTGGGATTTTGGGCACACATGCAGCAGTGCTGGGGGTGATTTTCAAGCTGCCATGTCTGGGACTTGAACCATGGTTAGCCATATGGGAGTCCAGCCCCTTAACCACCATACCACCTGCTGGCTCCACTGGGGGCATTCTATTTTTTTTAATTTAAAAAAATAATTAATTTTATTTTTTATCATTGTTGTTATTTTTAATTTGCTGTAGGGCATGTGCACTTACGAGAGAGAGAGAGAGAGAGAGAGAGAGGAGAGGAGAGAGAAAATGAGAAAGCAAGCTGCCAGGTCCAGGACTCGAACTGCAATCACTGTGGGAGTCCAGCACCTCTACCATGCTATCTGCTGGCTCAACGAGGACATTGTTAAGTGCAGCTGATATGTTTCTTACTGTGGATGGTGGAGCGTCTGACACCATCATTTGGTAGAGTTTGGAACCACTGCCTCTAGCCAACCAAGGCTCTGCTGCCTTGCCCACTGTTGCCTTTGTCCCTCAGTGCAAATGTCAACAGAGTGAAAGGGACAGAAGACATCTGGGTAATGTGAAATGTTTTGATTTCCTGGAGCTCCGACAGGGTCTCGTTGAATCTCGGATTTGGAACTCCTCTTAGAAGACCAAACCTGCAGCTTTTTCTCCACTTGCCATTTTAGTGTGCAGAATCCAGCCAGAAACCTGACCCAAGCTAGCTGTAGTAACAGGAGATTGTTCATGTTGCTGACTTACCCTTGGGGGGCTAGCTTTAGGGTTCCTTTGAACCAGGACTGTAATGATGAAATCTGGGCCCCTGGCCCTCGTTCCTGTTCTCATTGTAGCATCTTCAGGCTGGTGACCTCTGCTCCAAGGGTGGTAGTTCCCTCTCAACTGAACCAGCAGAGGCTCTGAGATTTGCATCTCATCAGCACCCTGGGTCCTCTCCAAGAGAGCCCCACACTAGGACTGGATTTCAGCTTGCCACTCACTCTCACGGCATGTTGCCTTTATGCAGTGCTCGGCCTACACAACCTACAAAGCAGCCCTGCATGTCCTATCTTAAATCAGTCGCTGAGGCCAGGATAGCTGTGTCCTGGTTGATCCATGGAGGCAGAGTGGGAGGGAGGTTTTCTGGAGCCAGATGGGCACATTTACCAGGGGAAGGCAGCATGGTTGGCAGCCAGCAACATGGTTTACTGCTCGGGTTTGCAGTGGGAGTGCAGACTGTGGGTTTCTGGGGTGGTAGTTCATCTGGGATTTGGTGGTAGGCAAGAAATGTTTGCAATTGCCGTGAGCACAGTGACCCTTGTAACTTTTCCTTTATTTGAACATGAATGGTGTAGGTGATCCTGGAAACCCTAGTGACCCTCGGATGGGCAGAATGAGTGACTGGCACAGGACCTTTGCCCAAAATGTGCTTGTCCCTCCCCACGCACAGAGAGCACGTCAGCTTTTGAAGGAATCCACGGCATTTCAGTGTGTCCTGAAGTGGCTTGAGGGGCCGCTAATTAAGCAGGTAACTAAATTTGCTGTTAATGTTAAATAAGCCTTGCTATTGCTCTCAGCCGAGGTGAGGTTTCCAGTTAACACATTGATTTTCACTTATTTACTTGTGTCTTAGCAGCATACCCATTACCTTGGGCCTTGGCAGTATTCGAAGGCTAAGTGGCCTTTCAGCAAAGAGAATATGATTCAGCAATTGGTCAGCAGTTTTGACACTGGGTAGGGGTTTCTTTCTGCCCACAGTGGATCACTTTCAAAGCTCAGGTCACCTGATTTCCCGGGTTGTTTCTGAGCCAGGCGGCCTCCTGCATGGCTCAGCATGGCCTGCTTTCGAGCCTGGCAATGAGGACTGCAGGAGGCAGAACTCTGGGCATCCTGGCAGCTCTGTCGGTGGCTTGTCAGAGCCCTTGTGCTTGGGTGGCTCACAGCCTTTGGCACACTCAGGCCCAGGCCCTGATGGTTCCTCGTCCATCTGTGCCCTTCAGCTGGCAGGGAACCTATTGGAGAGACGAGTCATCTGTGCTGCCACCCACACGACAGCCATGTGATGGGATTGTCCTCATGAAGCCCAGAGGCCTTTTGGGAGTGCACAGGGCGGGAGAGGGGGTGTCTAATCCCGCCAGTGTAGACATGTGGCTTCCTATAGGGTTTGACTTGGCAAGACTGCCTTCCTCTGCAGCTGGTGGAATGATATTCACGTCTATTCAGAATTGTCGAAAGCGCTAGGTCTGAATAATTTGCTTTTATTAGATCACGAATATCCCACCTCATTCCATGCCAAACCCTTTGATTGAGTCCCTGGTGTGGGTTTGCCACTGCGTTTTGCTGCAGTGGCTACTCCTTTTATAGGTGAACTTCATGGCATAGTTACTCCTGCTAATTCCCTCACAGCAGCCTGCTCTAGGTACTCTCATTACCCCTGTATTGCAGAAGAAGAATGGAACCAGAAGCAGAGCCAGTGCCCAGGTGACACAGTTCTGGACACCAGCTGGGATCTAGCCTACCTTGGCTGGCTCCAGCAGCACCCGTCATCCAGGAGCTCAGGAGATAGTTGATGGTGGTTTTCTTTTTCCTAGAGATTTCATGAAATTTTGCTTTCCTATTTTTTAAAAAATTTTTTTGGAAAGGTAATTCACATACTTGAAAATAAGGATGCACAGGGTGAGTCATCCCACGGTGTCCCCAAGGCCCTGTGTCCCACCCTCTATACAGTGTTAGCTGGTGTCATACAGCTTTCCAGAAATTCGGAGCAAGTGCAACAAATAAATATACCTGTGTGTACTCTCCTATAATTAAAATGTAAATGGTAGTTTTCTATATTAGTACATGTCCTATACCTTGCTTAAATTTGTTTTAAACATAGGTCTTACAGATAATTCATGTTTTTATATGAAGACTTTTCTTATTCCTTTTTTTTTTTTTTTTTTGATAGGTTCTTTGCTATAGGGCATGTACACTTGCCAGAAAGACAGAGAGAGAGAAAGCAAGAAATCAATCCCCAGGGGGAATGGCCACGCCGGAATCCCTTCTCCTCCATTCTCCTCTCGGGATCTTGGGCACGCACACACACGTGCCTGGTGTGAGTTTAAGCCACTGGGTCTGGGACTTGAATCGCAGTCGACTACATGGGAGTCCAGCAACATAGCCATTATGCTAACTGCTGGTTCCTCCATTCTCTTCTCGGGATCTTGGGCGCACACACATGCACACGTACCCGGCGTGAGTTTTAAGCCATGGGGTCCGGGACTTGAACCATGGTTGACTACGTGGGAGTCCAGTGACATAGCCTTACACTAACTGCTGGTCCCTCTTATTCCTTCTTAAGACTACATGGTATCTATCTCTTTGTGTGGACAAACCATTATTTATTGGGCCTGGCCTTTGTTGATGTGTGTTTTTCCAGTCATTCTCTGTTACAGACACTGCCTCAATGAGTAACTTCATTTACATTGTTTCATGTGTACCAGTCTACAGAATAATTTCTACAAGTGGAATTTCTGATCCAAACTCATGGTAAAAGTTATCATTTAAGACACAATTATGTATTATTTATAAAAAGTATACTTTAAACATAAAGGTATAAACAGGTTGAAAGTAAGAAAATGGAAAAAAAAATCCCATGTAAAGACTAAGCAGAACAAAGCTTGTGACTGTCCTAATATCAGACAAAGTCGATTTCAAGGGGAAAGAAAGTAGTATTATCAAAGGTAATAGGATGTTTCACAAATATAGTGATAAGGCTTCACAATCTCTAATGTGTATGTGCCTGTGCTGGGGGCCCCCAAGATCACCCCCTACCAAGAGGTTTGGAAATTCTCTTAAGAGGATTCGCATGACTCAGCATGTAGTCACACCCACAGCTAAGACTTACTGTAACAGAAGAATGCAGAGGAAGATCAGCAGAG